TAAATCACAATTCCACAAGTACACATACATGTACTCTGAAACAAACTAAGTGCAGATCAGCATTTTTATATGTTAAATTTCTATTAAATACATTTTACCACTAAAAAGGTAAGATTACGTATGTCAAAATAGCAAACAAATCTGGTCTGACATAGACACCCAAATCACAAAAGTGATATAATAATTTTGGTTAAATAAAGACCTATGTACATGTAGGTTAATATGTAAAATCAAGATTTGTAGTCCATGCAGTGCAGACTAATAAGAAACAAGTTCAAATGAAGGTAATCATCTTTATTTCAAATATTGTAAAGAAAATTAAATGATTTAAGAAAGATGTGAGTGGGTGTTATCCGACATGTTGTTATATCAATGTCATTTACACCTATGTCAAGATGACAACACCATAGTTAAAATAGCTTGACATTGACTTTGTCCTCTAGAACTGAAGTAATCATTACAGAAGTAATCAATTTCATCATGAATCATCACAGAGTGGTTCAACTTTTGAACTATATGTATATTAGGCCTACCTACCCCATAAAGACAGGTGATAAGTAGATTCTGGTTGATATTCCATGCAGAGAAACTATCTATTTTATTGATTTAACTTAGATCAAATCAATTGTGTTTTCTCTTCCTGATTGATACTAGTACTATGTCCTAGTACAAGTAGTAGAAATTATCCATTATCACAGATAAAATTATTATGTCAAACGGCTTCAATCTCCGTTTATTATAATCTGTTGATTCCTCTAATTCTATTGTGATACAATAAGTTTCCAGTAAAAAATATAGATTGCCAGACAATGAAACATGCACCCACAACTGCTTAGTAGTAGCCCTAGCCATCAATAAAGCTTGTTGAATTGTGAATATTTACGTTGAAATTGCATACGCTACTTAATTTCACTAATTTATCCAATGATAATAATCCTTTAGCTAGGCATTTAGTAACTGGATATTGCAATAAACTATAACAACTTACAGAAGAAAAATTAATTTATTTTTGCAACATTTTGACGAGTATTCTTCTCAACATCCCACAAATTGCTAAAACTTAATGACTTACATGTACCGGTCCCTGGAATTGTCATCCATTTGCACGGTGACATATTCAAGCGGTTTTTTTTTAAATCGGATATAAATTGTGACCTCTACGGGGACCATAAACTAAAAATGTGATTTTTCATACAATCAAGGCCATAATTCAGGAAGTTACCATCCGATATTCGCGAATATCGAAAAGAACCAATATCTTTGGGTTATATATTTCAAGTTTCATCAAAATTGAATCAAAACTGTGACCTCTAATTCAGGAAGTTACCATCCGATATTCGCGAATATCGAAAAGAACCAATATCTTTGGGTTATATATTTCAAGTTTCATCAAAATTGAATCAAAACTGTGACCTCTAGAGGGCCCACAACCTTGATATACTATATATTGACACTATTTGCTTACGAGGGGCAGTCATTTTGTCCGGCAGTTTTGGTCCGATTTTGCTGAAATTTTAACTCATACAAAATTACGGTGTAACGGTGATATATTCAAACGTTTTTTTTAAATCGGATAATAATTGTGACCTCCAGAGGTTCCACAAGCTAAAAACTTGATTTATCGTACAATCAGGGGCCATAATTCAGGAAGTTATGGTCCGATATGCGCGAATATCGAAAGGAACCGAGATATTTGGGTTATAAACATACAGTAGAACTTGTATTAAGCAAGCACCCAAGGGAAATTTAAAAATGCTTGCTTAATGGAGGTGCTCTTTGAGTAGAGCTACCTAATATTGCCCCAACCCCTACCACAAAATATAAAGATATTGATTGCATATATTTTTTTATTCATGTAGTATAACAATAACAATACATGTACTTTTTATCTAGTTGTGAATTCAAAGTAATCGCGTATACATGTTTGTAAATAGTAATACTGGATCTCTGGCCTCCCAACATTTCTTTTACTTTCATCATACTGAATCTTAGCGTCTAAAAGCGTTTCAAAATGCCGTGAATTTGAGTATTTCCCACCCCAACTATTTTAGCGATTCGGCGACCACTCAATAAAATCTTAATGCTTTTTGTGCTGGCATAAATTAATTACGCTTGGGTGCATTTTATCACCGATTTACAGAAGGTGTAACTCTGTATGGAATATAGGGGGCGCTAAAACGTCTGTTTAACAACAAAGTGGCAATGGAAAAGAGATACTAGATGATCGTGACAAACAACGGTGTACTTTCATTTTATTCAATCAGTATCAAATAATGTGTCATTACGCGTGAAAACAATGATCAGGTTAGTCGTTTAATAAAACAAAAGATTAATAAACAGATAATCCCGGGTTGGTTGTTATTTTTACATTTCTTTTGTACCTGATCAGTGGGGGTCCAGTTAATTAACTACTACTCACGGGATTAGCGGTAGTGTTACAAAGAAAGAACGACAAGATGGTATCATTCAACAATGGCCATTGAATGGGCGATGTTTTGTTGAATTTATTAGTAAAATAGTGACCACTGACTGCGTTAGAGGAGTGACTGTTGAAACAGTAGAATTTTTTACGGGGGGGGGGGGATTAATCGTGATGCCCGTTGCACGCATTGAACAGGTGCGTGTTTAGTAGGGGTTAAATTACTTAAAAATCGCTTGGGGGGATTTTTTGGTGCTCGTTGAAGCAAGTGTTCGCTGATTAGGAGAGCACGCCCGAGCAAGTTCTACTGTAGATTTCAAGTTTAAACCAAATCGGATAAAAATTGTGACCTCTACAGTGTTCACAAGCTAAAAACGTGATTTTTCATACAATCAGGGGCCATAATCCATGAAGTCACAGTCCGATACATGCCAATATCGAAAGGAACCAAGGTCTTAGGGTGATAAACCTATATTTCAAGTTTCATTGAAATCGGATGAAAATTGTGACCTGTAGAGTGTTCACAAACAATTGTGGATGGACGGACAGACAGGGGCGACGACAATATACGTCCACATGAAAATGTGGGCGTATAAAAACAATAGTGTTTCAAACAAGCTACGCCATGTGAAACCCTAATAATATAGTAATAGTTTCACCAACAAGCTACGCAGTGTGAAACCCTAATAATATACATGTAGTAATAGTTTCACCAATTTGAATAATGAGTATCAATTTCATACAGATTGGATGCTAACCTTTGTTTCTTCAATTCAACAATGGCAATGTAAATAACATGTTAAAGGAGCTTAATCACTATTCTTTGGCACCTAGAAATGGATACAAATGGGTCCCAATGCATATAGTAATTTATTATGAATGTTTATAAACTTTACATTCAATCGTTTAATTTCTAATCAGTTATGTTCAACAAAATATGCAAAGAGTCCAAATTTAATGGCACAGTGTTTGGCGTCTGGTTATTCCAGTCTACACCAGTAGTATTCTCCTGTGGGATATGTTTAGCCTTATTCATCGAGTTGCTTCATTACAAATGGCACTCAAAAACATTCTGGCAAGCGATTTGTGTGCCAATTTTTAAATTTTCATTTTGTCTTAAATATTGGATATCAGAAGCCCATTTTTTCACAGTAAGATAACAACAGCAATGTTGATTTAAATTGACCAATAAGTTGTGTTTGCAATGTCGCAGACTGTGGATGATATTGAGTTAGCAACTTGCCTCCTTTAAATGTAGTCTGTAGAGTGTTTACAAGAAATTGGCGAAGCCTGACCAACGGATGGGGCAACGATGATATACATGTACGACCTGATTCCATTTCAATGTGCGCGTATATAAAATTAAATAAATTTCTTACATTTTGAAGAAAGTGTTATATCGTCAATCATAAATTGTTAATACTTTGTGCACTTCATGTAAACTTAACTTTGCCAAGTAAGCCAAGCTTTCTAACAGGTAGGTTATCAGTAGATGTGTAGGTGGATGTTGAGTTGAATGGAATGTGTTTACAACAGTTTCCTATTCTTACATCTTTTAAGAGCCATCACAGAAAACACAGCTAATGCCTCAGTGTTATTATGGTAATGATAACCAGGTGAAATGAAACATGTATTTAGGTTAATGTACAGGTACATGTATAAACATCTTCTGTCTATTATTATCATACAATGTGTATCTCCGAATTATGAACAGTTACACATACTTAAAGATAGGTTGCCAGGCAACAAAACATATGCCCACAAAAGCTAGGTCATTCAAGCAGACCACAAAGGTTGCCGCATGTTTATAATACCGGTAGTACAAAACAATGGAGAGAAAAAACAACATGCAAGCCAAGTCATCCGAGATGTTACTAAAAACATTTTTTAAAGTTTTAGACTTTTATCCAAACCGTTTTATTTACATAATAAAAGGTCTGATTTGATATACATTTGTTGTTTAAAATGTCTGTGCATCATGTTGTCCCTGTCGGTAGGTTTGTGGAACTTTTAATGTGTGGTGCGGTCCTCCTACACTTACACATACTAAATTAATGCGAATTTTAACTTTTTAGCACTTTGTATGTAACACTGACTAACCCATTACCTTGAAGGAAAGATCGGAATAGTCCAAAACCTCCAAAACTACAGTTCTCTTGACCACCTCAAACCACCCAAGATATCTTTCTGTATTAATTATAGGATTAGAACTGTTTACCAGTTCTTGAGGCCACGAGTCCCCTGCACTATAGTTGTTCACTACACTCTAGCAGCATGGGCACGTCTTATGAGCTCCAGTTAAGGTGGTTTCAGTAGGCCAAGTGATAATGGATTAAAAAGTGCTCTGTGATTCAACAGATCAAAAAAAATCTGATAAATTTAAGAAGGTTTCAATGACCGGACAGGGTGAAAAACTAGTAAATTGACTGAATTTAAGTTATAATTACAATTTATAATCGTTCATGATGCCTTGAAGATTTTAATTCTTATCCTAACCACATTCATTTCACTGAGAACTTTAAATTCTCGTTACATTATGGACGTGAATAGATGTTAGTTTCATGCACATACTTTTACTTACCAATTAGAGGCATTTTTTGTTGCATTAATTCCTGATAGCTGTCTTCAATAACACTGGCAGGGGCTTGGGGACGGAAGCGACCCTCGTGAACCATTCTCTCACATGTGGCCATGAGGGTACGAGGAAAGGCAGAGGGATCGACACCATAGTTCCTCCAACCACCTACACCATCTGCTATACCTGAAAAAATTATTTATCTTATTGACAGCATTTTAAATTGTTTTTTAAAAACAGTGCAGCACAAACTATACCCAATAAACATAAAGTACATACATTGTAACAAACAGTAAAATTACAAAGAGCACAAACAAATGATTACTGAAGAAATCTCTATTCTTTGGTTTTGTTTTTCACAGCATAATAATTATCAATCTATCACTTGTTTTTATTGCAATTTCTGCAACTCTGTAGTGTAAGCTTGTACATAAACTCAAGAGAACATACAGATTTTCAGCCCCTACATGTCCAACAGTACAATCAAGACGTTTGCCAATCTGATGGAGACTGAGGCATGTAAATTGGGTGTTTACCCTACACAGGTTAAAAATAATAATAATGATTAATTTATATAGCGCCAACAACTCAACTCAGCAAGCTGCTCTTGGGCGCTTTACATAAATACAACTAATAATAATATAAAACAAGAGCATCGCTACGCTGCAATCACATTCCTGCTTAGATTGATATGGTACTTTTAAAATAAAGAGCATGAAATATAAAATGGCCGCAATAAATTTGTATAGCACTGAGTGATCCAGGTAACAAGCTGCTCCAGGGTGCTCAGAAGGCTAGGGTTTGGGTGTTTTGCAAAATTTACAGACTAAAAGTTGACTCAATGACAGATGATAACTTCCCTTAATCGAGCATTAACAAGGTTGAACAAAGTGAAACAAGGGCCATAACTCTATAAGTAATTATTATAAATTGCTGAAATGTTTCGTAGTTTCACTAGTTTAAATAATGCATATAAATTTCACAAAGATCGGATGATATATTTCGGCATTAAAGCGTTCACTCATTTCACTAATCTAAATAATGCATATAAATTTCATAAAGATCGGATGATAACTTTTGGTTTCACTAATTTAAATAATGCATATAAATTTCATAAAGATTGGATGATAACTTTTGGTTTCACTAATTTAAATAACATCCGTTTAGCAGATTTAAAGTAATGGATAGATATTTTGGAGTGAACAAATTACGAATTCTTCATGAAATAATTAATGATTTTTTTTATGATATTATTACGCTTTTGAAAATATCATGTCTGCTTTTACTCATTTTATACCCATTAAAGTTAATATTGCAAGCTCATGCACCGATGTCGTCACTCGCAGTGATTGTAGCAGCCTGCTAGTAGTGGCGAATATTCACTGCTGATCAGTGTCGAGTACATAATGTAGGTGCATGTAATACAATGACAGATTAACTAATAGTAATATACATGTACATTGTCACCACCTACATGTATAAACAATTAATCTATAAATGTCATATTTTACATAAGCTTATTTACATAATTTATAATGTTGCTTAATTCTAATTATTCAATGACATCATTCTCTCATTGCCATAAAACGTACTTGCTGTGATAATGATATTGTACACAAATACTGGCATTCACACTTGTGTGCTGTCAAGCAAAGTACCTGAAAACTACCCTTACTTACAGTGTACACAGACATTCTTCAACCCCAACTCATTCCACACTTCACAATAAGAGATGACAAATTACAATAGAAGTCAAGTTCCCTAAACGCTGATGATTTTCATAATTTGTGTATTTATAAAACAATACACAGGCCTGACTATACATGTACATGTAATTATCTTCACAAAACCACTTTTAAACTGTCTTTGTTTCAAAGTTCCCAATGAGTAAGCATTGCAAACAGCCAAACACATTTTGAGGAATACCATTCAGTACCCCAGTATTTGGTCTGTACTTAAAGAATGGATTAAAGGTGATGTGATTGATGTCCCAAATCCAAGACAAATTACATCGAAAACGTTACAGTTTCAACAAAGGTTTTAATAAACAAAATTATGTATCTTTTTTTTTTATTTCAGAATACAAGATTAAATCATATCGGATCATGCTTTCAAATCTTGATACATTTAAAGAATGTGAACTTTGGACTATTTGGAGCTTTTAATTTATGTTCAATAGAATTTAATTAGCAATTAGTTACCCTGCTCCATGTACATGACTTTGAAATTGAATTTGTTTTGTTTATAAAAATTATATTTAAACATGTACATGTATTGCAGACGTTCATGTAAAAGGAGCGCAATAGCGTCAGTCGATGTGCGCTTTTTATAGCTCCCCTCAAAGAAAATAACCAGGAAAAATATACCGGTAATGAAAAATACTGACAATATCGACAATCAACTTGCTTGTCGGCTACAATAACAGTCATACCTTAGTGAGAATCAGCCATCCGGTTTGTAATCCGAGTAATTAGCACATTTAACGGTAATTTTGAAAGAACACCGGGTATCCTGAGAAACAGATATTAATAATATATTTTTCCGTCAGGAGCTCCAATGCTTTCAGATTCCCGATAAAACGTGACATGCTTCGGTTGGAATTAGGTCAATAAACCAGCATTGCTAGATTTAGTTTTAAATAGTGTTTTAGTTTTATTCATTTTTATTTTATACACATGCTGACAGGGACTTATTCTTAAAAATATTGTCCTTATTATTTAAGGCTATGGCATAGTCTACGGAATTTTATTTTATATAAAGCAATTTCAATTATGGTTGTCACCTGATCATTGTGCCACTTGTCTTTCATCCATGAATGAATAAAAACTTTGTAAGTTACGTGATAGACAAAAACAATAATGTGTGTTTTAAATATGAAGAAATGCCATGGTGTCGTATCAGCTTATTTTGGGTATTGCATTTTCTGATACTGGCCGTAGTAGAAAAATCCTAATTTCGATTGACTGATGATATCCGTTTATCCATCAAATAAACGAAGACAATATTCTATTCAGGAATATCACTGACTTGAACGGGAGCCTCTAATTACCTTACCGGGATCTCATTTGACCCAATTCTGGCCGGTTGGTTTCAAAATGGATTAAAATCTCTGGTCTTTATCACAAATGCTAACAAAGCTCTCCTCAAGAGATTCAGGAGAGCTTTCTCAGGAGAGCGATTTACCCTTTTTCCAATTTCAGGAGAGCTTTTTTTGACTCTCCAGGAATTTATTAACGTGAAGGCCTGTAGTATTGAATGGATGCTGTATCTTTGGGAGAACACAGTTTTTCTGAAGATGAAGAATTTTAATATTGAGCATTTTGACTTTCTTGGAGTTATTGTTTAACAATAATGATGTCTTATTGTACAAAAATAACTTAACAACCCCTAGGTTTGAATATTTCCAAAAACATTGTTCAAAGAAAGTTTGGTACCAGTACTGATAAGACAGGATCCTCAACACATTTGGTTTAACAGTGTTTGATATTCATCCAACATATACGCACGCAAACTTAGATGTCATCTTCCAAACCAATGCCATGAACTGTTTGTAATTCTTTTTTTTGTCACTTCGTTCAATGATTTGAATGAAAGCAGAATTTGGGGTCAATCAAAACAAAACTTATTCACAGATTAATATTCTTGACAGCAGGGTAAGGGTTTTTCAATTCGAGTTTTGAAAAACAAGATAGCAAAAAAAGATAAACAGTCAAGCCAAAAAATGACTTCACATCATGCCTAGCTCCTGGCAGAAGGATAGCAATTTGACATACATACATGTATGGATCTATAAATGGGGTTTAACGCCCACAAACTAGGTCACTTTGGGTCTAACACAAGTGGTTCAATTTCATTTCATTAATTCGCTTGCGCTCTAGCAGTGGGAAGACCTGGAAAAAACTCACGAAGTTAGACAGGCAACCGGACCCAACTTCACAAGCTGGAAATGGAAACCATGCCACTTGATGACTTAATGCTTGAATCACAGACCTTATGATCTAAAGCCCATGCATTGACCATATGGCCACCCAACCTTCCATGGAAAATTACCCTTCCACGATATATATGTAGGCCTACAATCTGATGTTGGATAAATGATAAAATAACCTATCTACGTACATGTATGCTAATCAGTTATTGGAATGTTTCTGCTTTTATAGACTTTAGTCGCATGTAGACCTAGCAAATTAACAGGAGGGGACATATTTTAAACAGCGTGTTGTGTCACACATACTGATTCTAGCGAGGTAAGCGAAGTCTTTTTTCTCACTAAAATGTTCCTTTACATTGGGACCGACACGCAACCGATTAGCAGTAAAAAGTTACCCAGTAAAATTTACTGGGGAGTGAAAAAGTTTTGCCGAGTCAATAGGCCCGTTCCTGAACATACAGGCCGAGTGTAACAAGACATGCATCTTTCAGCACATGTGGCTCTCAGCTCTGGATAGTCACATACCTACATGTAAGTAGTGTACTGTGTATCCTGGGTTTTTTCCCCCACTATCTTTTACCAAAGTCACTCAGACAAAAGCAAATTATTACCAATAGAATTACTATAATTTCTCTTTTGTTAGGATGCCTCACCAGCACACGCGGCTCTCAGCGCTGAATAGTCACATACCTACATCTAAGTAAGTATGTAGTGTATCCTGCCCCCCCCCCCCATCTTTAACCAAAGTCACCACTGAGTATTCTTGCACTGCATGCTTAGCCAGAAATCAGTTCGGGACTAGTCACTGAAGCGTCCACATTTGCTGTGGCGTGTACAACTTTTAACAGAGCAAATTTTGGCTGTGTGGGTCCCTACTTTTGTACTACACTTTGGCATACTCACTTGATTTTTACTGTTACATTACACAAAAAAACGAAACAGGCCTACACTTAGTATGGTACCAAAAATTCTTAAAGGAGCTAATTTCATTTTCAAATCAGTTATGTTCAGCGAAATACGTCATAAGTCTCAATCAAATGGTAATCTCTAGAATCTGGTTATTCCAGTCTACACCGATAGTATTTATTGACCATGCTCTCCAGATAAGAATATGGCGTCACTATTTTACATGGCTCATGGAATATGTCTAGCCTCGTTATTTGTCGAGTCCCTTGCTACATATGCAGCTGAAAAGCATTTATTATGGTAAAAAAAGTAAAATCTTTATTTTTTTCTTAAATATGTGATATCAGAAGCCCATCATTTTCCGGTAAGATCACAACATCAATGTTTATTTAAATTGACAAATAATTTGTGTTTTCAATTTCGAAGACTGGATGATATTGATATTGAGTTAAAATTTAAATTAATAAGGGTTATAGACATTACGGCCCTAAACCATAATGGCCAAAATATTTCATCATAACGGCCAAAAAATTGGTCGTAACGGCCCAAAAAGAACATACCATATGTAGGAAATGATATTTATCAATATAAATATTGCATAATAGATAATACCATAATATAAATACATACATTACATAAACATTAATATAATACGTAAATTTACATAGACATTTAACACAATACAAACTATAATATTTCACATAATACATAATACATTGTATAAAACATACAAACTATAAAATTTATTTCAATAATATATTTCACATACATAATACATCTAAATACATAATTTACAGTATTGATAAAAAGGCTTTTTCACAATTTTAAAAGTCCCATCAATAAACCATTGCCCCGATTTAGCAAGCAAAACCTACTGTCTTGTGGTGAAAAACATCAACTGTCTTTCTTCTTTAACTTTTATATCGGCATGTAAAAAATCATCAGGTATTGCATCTTCATTTACCTGTAAAATAAATTTGTAAATATAGCTTAACCTAAAACATATTTTGTAATATTACAAATTTTGTAATATTGTAACATGATATTGTTAATTTGTAATTATAACTTTCAACACAATAAATAAGTTAGAAATATACAGGGTTTTTTTCATTTATCCTGTTAGTTGCTTTGATTGGGTTCTATCTGAATGGATTGGAGATGGCCATTTCTTTTATATTTAGTTGATAAAAAATAAATGATTAATGTTTATCTCATATATTACCTAATCAGATCAGAGGGTGTGAAGTACAGTAAACATCACATACGTCGGGTCGGATCTTAGCTCAACGCGAAAAAAATCAGTTGGAGTTGGACCCTTTGATCCTGCACGTTTTTCTTATTAAATTTCTGCGCATAAGTCGGATTTCCTAAGTCGGATCTTTGCTTAACTCGGATCAAAATGTTCTGTCCATTTGATCTAATTCCGGCTTTTTTCCTTCGCCTAAGTCGGATCGGCAGTATGTTCTCAACATGCTGTTAAAAATACGGCCAGACTGACGCCATTGAAATCGAAATACAGGACAGCACACAAATTTCACACCTCGGCCATATAAGACGAAACGAAATTGGAATTTTTGAAAAAATTTGATTGTAATTGGGCTAGGCAAGGCAATAATTGACTGAAGTTTCTCAGTTTTGCAACGATTCTAATTTTCCCCACCCCAGCTAACCTAAATTTTGTTTCGTCTTACATGTATATGGCCAAGCCACGTAAATATGTACGCCACCCCACATCTAGACCCCAATGTTTAGCAGAAGGGGACGGATTTTTAACAGCATGTTGTGTTGCATATACTGACTCTAGCGAAGTAAGCAAGGTCTTATTTTCTAACTAAAATGTTCCTTTACATTGTTCAGACGTTCACAGAGACTGACACACGACCGTTTAGCAGCAAACTGTTGCCCAGTAAAATTAACTGTGGGTGTGAACCGATTTTATTTCGACACGGATTCAATAGGACGGTTCCCGAACGTACAGGGAGATAATGAGACACTTTTAGAGCTGAACTCGTCTTCGGCTAACTTGGATCTTTGTGTAATTCGGATAAAATTGGTCAGTCCATTTAGATCTGACTTATGTGAAGTTTATTGTACCTAATTAGGGATTATCCAATCAGTTGATTAATTAGTAATAGTACTCACCTTTTTCCTTTGAATTATAATTACACTTTACAGCATGCAGTTTTCTGGGTTGGCTTTGGTTGTTGTCTCCAGGACACATGGTTTGTATAACTGTAGCACTATCGGTACATCGATTTTTTGTTTAAATACCAGTATATTGTTTTGGTAGTGGCTATTGTTACGACAAGTCGTAAAAATAGTCCTCAGACTATTTTTACGACGATGCTTTCAGAGCCCTCTATCGGCAAAGTTTAGGGTTAGGTTTAGGGTTAACCCTAACCGTAATCAGGCCCGGATCCAGGATTTTGTCGAGGGGGGGGGGGGGGAGGGGGTATACATTGGAGCAAAGGGTAATCATCAGAGTGCCTGTAATGAAGTTGAAATCCATTGATTCAGAGAAGTAATAGAAATAAATCGATGGTCGTAACAATAGCCACAGGACTATTTTTACGACTATTCAGTTTTTAACTTCGCCAATGGAGGGCTCTGAAAGCATCGTCGTAACAATAGCCTGAGGACTAATTTTAAGACTCGTGGTAACAACAGCCACTGCCTATTGTTTTTCATTCAATTAAAAATTTTTGGCCATTACGACCAAACTATTTGGCCATTATGACTAAAGTAGGACCGATTTGGCCAAACCTGTTATTTATTGGCCGTTATGGCATAGGGCCGTTGTGGTATGAGTTATGACCACATCGGCACATCCCATTAGAATTAGATTTTAGATTAATAATACCGTACATGACATGTACCGTAATGCACTAATTTCATTAAAATTTTACCTATGACATCTGATGTTTTATTTCTAGCAATGAAGTAAGCATCATCACCGAAAGTCCATTTTTTAAGAGGTGAAGTCTTTGTTACAAATTTAGAGAATCCTGAAGATCCCGTTACAAAATGAACTGGTTCCTTTGGTCTTGGAGATTTCAACTGAAACTCGCCGTTACTGTGGATTCCTGCAACTATCGCTCTGGCGACAAGCCTTCCATACACGGCCACTGATTGCATGACACATGAACAATTAACATGAGTAGGAATAACTAATTACACATAAACAGCTACCACCATGAAGATAGCCTTCTGTAATGTGTTTCACATCGTAAACAAAAACACGCTTTTAACTGGAAACCTCCATCTTTGTCTCCTTACTGACGTCATGTGACCTCTGTAAAAGGGAGACAACTATAATTATTTTATGTAACCATTCGAAGGCAGACCACCATTAATTTCCCCATTGACTTCAATGTTAATTCTGGCCTCTTTGCCAAGGCAACTTTTCCCCAAATTGTCGTTGGGCTGAATGCTTTTCACTACAGAGAAACAAATGGTCATGTCTTTTGAGATAACAAACTTGAAGAAGAAGCATACTATAAACACGTAACTATTCGCCGTGCATATTACTGTAACCAACCTGATAACCCTATTATCCTCCCGCCTCTAAATCATGAATATTTACCAAAACCTGGAAGAAAATGTTAATTCAAACCCTCTTCCATTCTAGACCCAAAAGTCAACAAAAATGGGCATGCAAAAGGGGAGACAAGAGACAAAGAGAGAATTTCTATCAATAGACGAACTACAATGGTGGTCTGCCTCCATTCGGAGGTTTCACTTCAGATCAGCAATTCGCTCCCCATTGGCCATTTACTTCAAGTTCAATGTTAAATCCATGCCATTCCTTCGTCTATAATTTTTTTTAGAACATTACGATGATCTCAATCTGTATGGCCACAAAAAGTCCTACATGTTACATTCATTGCAACAAAGGGTTTTTGTACGAGATTTCCCTATGCATGTCAGCTTATTTTAGGATACCGTACTTACTTACCCCCCCCCCCCCCCCGACTTCATATTTAACAAAAAATGGCATGAAATGTGAAGTCAAACACTCTTGTTCAATTCTAGACCTACAAGGCAACAAAAAAATACCACTCAGTAGGTGGAGGGGGTGGAGGCAACCAAAAAATACCACGCAATGGGGAGTGTGTGTGTGGGGGGGGGGGGGGTAGAGAGAGAGAGAGAGTTGCTATAAATGAAATCATGGGAAGAAATTATTAGTCTTTAATATATAATACTCTACTTCACAATTATTGCCAATAAAAAGTTACGTTTTCTAGGTCCCAATTAAGCCCTTTTCCACAAATATTTTCGGCATTTTGCTTTAAATCAAAATTTAACCAATAGCATATTCTTTGCATAGGATGAAGGCATCGGATGTTTTCGCCAATATTTAATTTTATGTCAAATTCCCAATTGTTAGTATAAACATAGCATTTTTTCAACAATTATCACAATTTTCATCTGGCCTTAAATCGAGTTATTGCAAACATTTTGCTTGGAACTCTCTGAATTTGTGTTCCTGGTGTTATAAGCTTCCAAAAATGTATAGTTTGTTTAGTAAAAATGAAATGGGGTTTAACGTCCTACTGTTTGTTTAGTAGGAAGCTTCCAAAAATGTATAGATTGTTTAGTAGGGACGACCTTGTAGCGGAACTTCACGCTAGAAATTTTGGCTGCAGGCCTAGTAGCCTATGATGCATCAAATTTGAAATTAAAAAACTTTTTTATTTTTCAGAATAAATAGATTTTGTAAAAGGTTACAAAGAACCCAATATATATTGCATCTGTAAAGATAATACTATCCTGTTTTCAGTTTCATTTTTCTTTCTGCAGCCTTTATTCATAAAGGTCATTCTTGCGGTCACTTGGTTGAAAAAATATTAATTATAAACTTGTAGGCCTACCCGTGTTAAGTCATATTTTGTCACGAAATATTACAAATATTACAAACCTTATTTAACTTAATTCTTGCCGAGGCAAAAACATTTTGTGGTCATTTTAGTGATTTTTCCGATTAAAAGAAATCCACGGCAAAATCGAATAAAAGTGCGTTACATTAAAACAGTTTGGGTCATTCTACCAATGGCGAAGCTATAATTCCTCACCGACAAAGAAAACAAAGAAGATTGATATAAATACAAATATTCTGTTACGTTTCATAAGAGTTGGCATTGTAAGCCTGTCCTCTGGGAGGTTTTATAACATTTTATATAATATACAGTATGGTCAACCCAGTGATATACGAAAATTGCTGTTGGTACGTCTAGTAACAGCATCGCTTTTGTAAAAACTAGTACTTTAAAAAAATTGAGAGGCAGGTCACCGTTAAATTTCATCATCTCGGCACCATATAGTTCCTTCTAATTGTAATGAAAAGCGTTGAGCTCAACGAAAATTTGGTCAGAGACCAGAATGTGAATGTAATGGTGGTCTGCGTCCTAATTTTAGTCCGTGATATGGGCAAGAGTTTCCTCCCTTACACACTGTTCTAGGTGTTCTTCGACTGCAGAGAGAGAAATGAAATGAAATGGGGTTTAATGTCCTACTGTTCTGCTCCTAAACTGGGATAATGAAGACCGGCATACGCCATACAGTGTGCTATGAGGGAAATTTTGCCCGGGCAGCGGCGCCGCGGCATACTCTTATATTGAATTCCAACTGCCAAGGGATCTTTTACGTGCACACCGATGTGTACACGGGACCTCGGTTTTTCGTCCCATCCGAACGACTAGACAGCTGTCTTTGTCAGGCCCTCCGTCCTGCATCAATGACAAGGGAAAATCTGGATGAACTTTCTCGGCCAATGCAGGGATCGAACACCCGACCTCCAGGCTAGCGAGCCAGCGTCTTACCCACTTAGCCGCGTAAATGGGGTTTAACGTCCACTTGAAACAAACTAGGTCATTTCGGGACTAACATATGGTTGAATTTTATTTCAATAATTCGCTTGCGCGTAGGGGTCTTTAGCAGTGGGAGGAAACCGGAGGACCCCGAGAAAACCCACGAGGTTGGATGTTAGATTGGAGGACCTGCTCTAAATGACGCCAGGCTGGTTTCTATCTATATGGCCACAGATCACTAAAGATTTCCCCATTGACTCCAATGTTAATTCTCGTATCTTAGACCGGCTCTAACTTTTTCGCAAATTTTCGTTGGGTAGAACGCTTTCTAACACAGATGGAGCAACATGTGGTAACCTCTTGACCAAAATTATGAATATTCACCAAAACCTGTCAGAAAATGTATTTTCAAACCCTTTTCTACGATTCTACACCAAAAATTCAACAAAAATCGCCATGTAAAAGAGAGGGGGGGGGGGTAAAGGAAGAGGAAGAGGAAGACTAAAAATAGCTTTGGGCCTTGTTTCGTGGGTGACGGTGTAGGAATATTTGGTGATCTGTGTCCTATATAGGGGTGAAACCGTAGGTATCACCAAAAGGCCTTTTTTATTTGCTTCCCTAGTGTTCTGGCAACATGCCGGTGAAAGAAAATCAAAATCAAAGAATAACTGCTAAAATGATGACCTTTTAAGTATACATGCTGCTTTATATACACTGGTGCATCTCAGGTCCATGGGCCTTTTGTGCTAAAATTTAAAAATCTTTCTTATTAAAGGCAGTATCTGAGTTCTGCGAAAACAATTAGACATGTTACAAACAAAATACATAGAAAACACTAATAATTAGGAATTTTTTTCAAAAATATAATTTTTTTCTGCCATGTCATGAAAAATGTACAAAATTTACATGTAGCATCTTTCAAAATACCAATAATTTTCCACTTTTTTAAATATCCAGACTGGCAAGAAATATATTCTTAGATCTGTTGACAGTATGCAAACAGAAAAATTGCAAACCAGTTGCATTGATTGTAATATTAGAGATCTATACTGAAACATGTATCCCTACCCCCTGAACATGATATTTTTATTGTCGGCGATGGCCACAGATCACTAAATATTCCCCCGTTGACTTTAATGTTAATTCTCGTATCTAAGATCGGCTCTAACATTTTCCCAAATTTTCGTTGGGTAGAACGCTTTCTGCCACAGATGGAGAAACATGGGGGAAACTCTTGCCCAAAAGCATGTATGAGGTTCACCATGGAAAACTTGAGATACACAAACTGGAAGTAAAGAGAAATAAACATGCAACATTTCAACCTAACCAACGGTTAGTGCTAAATGATAATACCAGCTCAATTTGTCGTCATAGATCACGAGATGTAAACAGGGCCAACGCAAATCCCAATCCTAACCCTAACCCTGGACCTAGCCCCAATGCTTATCCTAAGTTCGTCAAGCCGACCATGAAAACACCCACTATAGCCACTACCACTGAGTAATTGAACCTGAAATGGGCCAAGGACGTCGCCTCATCCCTGTCGACACACTAGCGGATAAACTGGAGACCAAAGACGCTGTACAAGAGTACTCTAGCCACACCCTGGCATGGACCAAGACGATCTACGGCAAGCGACTTAAGGATAGTGTGAAGACAGAGTTACACCGCCTCCTGTCCACTCTCCCTAAAGCTGTCACTCCTCCCCCCTCACCTATGCAGAACACACACAACCTTCTCCAGGAAACACCAAAACGAAACACACCTAACAAGAGATCATTATCAACTGCGAAGCCATACCCATTGACACTCCTTCGGGGCGTGCAGGTAGGCCAACCAGTCCGCGCCAGGCGTTGCCTGGCTCACCTTCGTCCGTGGGTTCCATATCTCCACTGAACGATTTCATCGGTTGTCTGTCCCCTAGATCGCCCACCATTCCTATCTTTGACACCACTACCAAGCCTTCTACCAGCTGCGGACGATTTCTCCGACGTATAAAAAACAATACTCTAATAGGGTGCCCCCCTCCCCTCCCATAAATAAATATCTCCAAATATCTCGACAACTGCACCACAATATTTATATATACTCTTCAAAAAAAGTAGGGGATATTGAAATGCAAATACATATGCAGGTTGTGATATGATAAATAGTCATGGACACTTGACATGCTTTGAGAGTATGTTCACAGATGAAGAACTTATCGCCCCAACAGAACCACTGAGCTGCATGTGCGACACGCAATAGCGCCATACACGTGGAAGTGGTTCATTGTCAAATTTGACACTTCAAGGAAGGGTTGATGAAAACTGCCGCTTGCTGGTTTATCCTATCCATGTTTGCTTTCCTATCGGTTCTTGCATAAGATTTACTGTTTAGCGCATCTTTGCTTTAGTGTGTTACGTTTAATTTGATCGGGAGACGTGTTCGTCGACGTCAACGTCAACCGACAACACCGCAAGAAT